GGCACGAACCCGCGTCCCCTGCATCGGCAGGCGGACTCTCAACCGCTGCGCCACCAGGGAAGCCCTCTTTTAGGTTTTTACGTTTAAGTCTAATCTCAGTGAAATGAGGAGTTTGATTTTTTAATGTCCAGAGAGCTGAGATTTTGGTATAATTTTATTTGGGGGATTAAAAATAGACCATATACCTAAAAATTGACTTATTATGGGGGAGCAGTATAGAATTATTCATTGCTATGAATGGCATTTTTAAATAAAGCATCATTGTAAATAATTCATTTTTATTATGTCTGAACATCAGTTGGGTACTAGTTGGTAGAATAACAATGACCTTAAATTAGGAAACAAAAGAGAAAACAACAGTTCCATATCTTGTTGAGCTCATCTTTGGTTAGTTTTTAAAAGAATAGTTCTTAGTAGTTTTCAAGAACTAACCCAGTTAGCTATATAGAAATTGATATTATTTGTGGCATATGGATAGAAAAATATGATTTTAAGAAGATCCCATATTGAATGTATTGTTATCTCTATTGCTTTTGCATTTAAAAATTTCATTCTTATGTGAAAAATTAGCATTAATGCTTTTTTTGGTAAAATTATTTGAAATAAAGCAAAAAATTTACACATTGTGTTAAGGGCCATCATAAGAAAAATAAAAATATTTCACCTTTTCACTGAACAACATTTAAATAAAAAATTATCTAAACTTCTCATTCTCTCCTTTAAGCCGAGATCAGTAATTACAAACATATTTGTGACTTGTTTTTAAAAGCTGAACTTTTAACATAAATGTTATTTTGGTTTACATATTACATGTTATTTAACACTGAAAAGCTACTAGAGGTTATCTGGTAAATATGAATATTCTTTGTTGTAAACCAGTGGGTGCACTTTTGTATGTCTGAAAGATCATTACAGGTAGGCAGAAATGCTTGTTAATAGTTCCAGTGTCAAGTGTAGAAGTAGTAACAGCTTAGAGGGCAACATTATAATATTTGCTATTTGTTCTTTATTTTGTTAGATTTCTTATTACAGAGAACAAGACGGCATGAACGCAGTTTACGCAGGTTTATTAGAAGAATGTTTTTAAACTGAGCTCTTTGGCATGTTTATAGACTTGAAGATGAAAAATATTTAGAACACAATGGGTTTTTCTTAACATGAAGACTTTTCTAAAAATAGTCTAATTTTTATTAAGATTATAAAGCTAAATATTAAAATATTTATGCTCAGAAATCCAAGTACAAAATTATTTAAAAATTTTTAAATGAATATGTTAGGAGATACTTTGTGCTAAATATATTTGTTGAATGAAAATTTTCTTAATGTCTTTATGCAATACTAATTTCTCTTTAAGTTTACAAAAAATAAGTCTTAGTTGTTTATGCTACATTTTGTCAAATTGAAGCATTTCTTTAATTCCATAAAAGAATACAAAGTAAGGCAGGAGGAAACCGCTTCTTTGCCAAGATTTGACATTATGTCAACATAACATTATTATCAGAAATATATCACTGTTAAATTTGTCATGTAAACCTCAATGAATTCCTGCTATTGCATGGTGCTCATTTCCCCAAGGGATAAGGTGTTCAGTAAACTAAATTGGATGAATTTCATTTATTTACATAAAAGTGGTATATTATTGAATTGGTTGTTTTCTTCACAGTCCAACATTTAATTTTTAATTATAGAAGACCACCTAATGAAAACATGTTTCTTTCAATGAGAGATTATTATTGAATTGTTTGACATAAAAATTTTTTATTTAAAAATGAGTTGCTACTTGATTTAGTGAATACAGTATGAAAAAACAATAAAGAATTGTCCAGTTAACGAATTAAAAGGGAGCAAGTATTTGCCTACTTTAAATAACTATTGCTGTTTTTCAGGTACAGTGATAATTAGCACTCATTGATAGATTATTAGATTATAACAATTGGAAAATACTTGTGTGATATGAGATTCTCAAACCTGATATCTATAGTTAGGATTAGTAATTTCACAGTTTTCTAACATGAATTGGGGATTGGAGGCAAAATGCTTTAAATTTAATTACGTGGTGTAGAGTAAAAAAATTCACAAGATTTATTGCCACTTTAATGATTTTGAGAGTTGAAGAGGACTACTATATTTGGAAACACTTGGGAGCTCTGAGAGTGTAGGAACATTGTGTAAATTGTATGACTCTAAAGTTGCTATGTTTCTAAAGTTAGAAAGAGTTGGCTTTTCTATAATGACATAAAGTCTTTTTTTTTTTCCTTCCTTGTATTCAGATTTTAGTAGTTAACTTCTGTTATACAAAAAGGCTGACTTGAATAAAGTTATGATGTCTGTTTATTTTAATGCACTGTTTTTTGCCAGTATACTGTATTTCCAGAGCATTTGGCTTAACTCAACCAAAGTGAGGAAGGAGGAAAGAAGCCTTAGTTTTCTTCCTTCCTTTTATTGTCAGTTCATTTGTATATTATAGGCATAGTGCCCTTGATCTTAGAAAATCAGTCTCTTTTTCATAATAAACTTGAATTTCAAAAGTTTCCCTATCTTGATGTGCATATACACGGTTGTTTGTTTTTTGGTTCTTGAATTTTAAAATCCTGATAAATCCTACAATTTCCTACATTCCAAAAAGGATAAAGTTTCATATATAGTTCATTATTTTTGATGAATCAAATATTATAGCGAGTAGACTATGCTAGAAAACATAATATAGTGGTATAGAAAATCCTGGGTCATTTTGGTTACTTGGAGCCCATAATTTTGGTTTTTATATTAAAATGCTATTCCGGTTGTTAACATATAGATATATCTATAGTTTGTGGCTTAGAAACAATACACTTTATAAAAAAAAAAAAGCAAGGATACCTGTGTCAGTTATATTTTAAAGTTATACAGTGTTTTAAGGCTATGTATTTATTCTTTAGAAAATATGACTTACATAAATGTCTTTTGATGGACATAATATTGACAAAATATACACATGATATTACCTTAACAAACTGCCATGCAACAAATACATTAAGTAATGAAAAAATTGAATATATATGACCTAATCTAATCTTGACATTTACATTGAAAATTTACAACATAACCAGTACTTAAAATGTTTTTCTTATATTTGGCAGTAATTCTTTACAGTTTAAATTTAAAACTTCTGAATGTGGGTTTGGTGAAACTTAGCCTTTTCCCTAGTCTGTGACAACCTGAGGTACTAAACATTTTTCTCTAATTTCACTATCTTCAAAGGTAATTTTTTTGTTTCTTTTAGGATCTATCCAAGAGTTGTGTATTACAGCATTATTAGGCATGGGATCAGCTTCTACTATGGAAACAACTCGCTTTTTCATTTTACTTTTCAAGACCTTTTGAAATTTTTGTCTAGTAAATGCATATAATAGAGGATGAAATATAGTTGTTCCATAACCCATGACTAGAAAACACAACCTTAATTTTACTAAAAGGTCACTTGGGCCTAAACATAAAATGGTGGTATTTAAAACAGAAATTGGTGTCCAGCAGAGAAGAAATGTAGAAATAATCAATAAAGACATTTTGAAGACCCTCTTTTGCCTTTCTCGTCGTTCACGGTGTCGTTTCATAGCTCGCCGGAGGGCAATTATTACAGAGACTGAAGTTCTAACACCAAAGACTACATTTCTCCCACCACTGCTTTGTGACATGTCTGTAGTCTCGTGTTGTGTGGTTAGAGAAATCGTCTTTTTCTTTCTTGCTTTCTTCTTCTGCCCTGTTGAGAATCTTGTGCCTATTCGAATATTGAGGGCCTGAAGTATTTTGGTGTATGTGATTAACATTACTATGACAGTGAAAAAGAATATTGGGATCTGTACTAGCAGGTGATAATACATTCCCAGTTCAGTGTAGTATTCATTCGTACTGACACACAGAAGTGTCTTGTTTTCCCATGTATTTCCATTTTGAAGGCTGAAAAAATTTACCTCAATAAAGGGAATCAGGAAGGAGAAAAATGAAAAAATCCAAATGGATATCATTAGCATTACAGCTCTGCCCATTGTCAGAATTCGGTTTGCAGGCTTTACAGAGATGTCATATCTGTCCAAAGTGATAGCAAAAACGTTGATTGCTGTTGAGACACTTGTAAAAGATACACAGGCCTCATGGAAACAGCAGATGAGAGCAGTGTTACTCTCCAGTGAAAGCAGAAGGATAACTATAGTTAGAGGAATACATCCCACACAAATGATTACATCAAGTACATGAAGATTCATCGTAATAATGTTACTGACAGAGTTGATTAAGTTGGATTTCATGCAGTAAAGTACCAATACGGTGAGGTTGCTGCCAAGTCCCAACACAATTTCTAACATAAGAAATCCGGTGAGAGACACTTGAAAGCTTAATGGATATGATAGTGGTTGGTACATATTGGTGTTGATGTCATCAATGTCATCTCGCACTGTAATGTTAGATTCAGGCTGCATGTTGATTTCCAGAATGGGAGAAAAACACATTCTTTTGGAGCAGTTGGTTTTTTCCCTAGAAAGTGAAATAGAATAAACTATTTGATATTTGGCAATTTAAATGACGTACAAAACCTGTGTTCTTTGTAAAAAAAAAATTTTTATTGTGTACTTAGTTTAATTTTTAAATTTATAAACTATTAATGGAAAATGTAGAATTAGGAAACATCAAGGTTTGCACTGTTTTGATGTAAAAGGAAATTGGGTTCCCCATTTGAAGAAATAACTGTACTGGGGATTGCTCCTATATAGTTTAAAATTGTTTAATAAACTAAAAAGGTTTTCCTTATTTGGGTTTTTCAAGGTTATTATTTGAGATACAGTATATTTTTGTATAATAAAACTACCCAGTATGCAAAACTAATTTTAGCCCAGTGTTTTAAGATTTCATTTTAAAATGTTGTGAGTAGGTGGAAAATAAATGCTATTTTAACATGTTGTAGCACAATTAGTGTAGGTGTAATTATTCCCATGAGATTTCAAATGAACAGGACAAATGTTCACTTAAAATGACAAATGGCACAGAGCACTAGTTTGTTTTAAATCACTTTGTCCGTGTTCTTGATTGAAATTCATATTCAGCAGTCAACAGTGTGTTTGGGGATATATGGAGTTATTGCCCACTGAAGTAGGCAAATGATAAATATTTCATATTTCTCAGTGAAAGTGCTCACTGAACTTTATAACAATCAAACTTACAAAAATTGGAAAAAAAGGACATTATTTTGAAGTAAAACACCACAGACCTTAGTAAAAGAGCACTAATCACTCTTATGAATGAATGATTTATTTTGTGACCACACCCTTTCATATCTTGTAGAAGGAGAAAATTGAAATTTAATATCATATTAAGAAATAGCCATTTTTAAGGTGGTTTAAAAGAATGCATCAGTTGATTTTATTAAACAGAATTTTTAAGCAAAAAATGAAATTTTAGGGAAAAGGAATATCTGAAGCCCATTTTCTGAGGAATCTATTAAAGTTACACATTTCCTGTGAAACCTTTTGTGTAAATCACCCAGTGTATATCATTTTGAGGAAAATTAAAAGAAAAAACCAAACTCTTGCTAATTCATGCATATCTATGTTTTAATATATAGAAGTTTAGAGTAATTTATAAAAATAATGTCTGATTTGCTGGGCTAAAATGTCAGTAATTAGTATATTTAGTTAAAATATAAAATCATACAACCAACTATATTTCACATTTCAAGTACAGCATTTTGCCTGCAAAATCATAACAAATTATAAAAGCTAATAATTTTCAGAACTCATGTTAGCCTTTCACTTGATGTAACCTTTGACAAGTTTTAGAATATAGTTTTATTTATGCATATTATTTAAAAGGTAGTGTTTCAGAAACACAAACGCTAACATTATTAATTTCTTTTGAGCTTACTAAAGGCATATATTTGAGTAAGTGAAGGTCTTAGCCAGCATTGAAATCCTATAAAAATGGAAAATTTTAAAGTGTGCCAAATTTTCTGAACTGACAGATTAAACATCAGGTCTTTGTCACATCAGTTAGATTTAGAATTAAATAAAGCAGAAGTGTCAATTTAGATGATAATTAAGGAAAATGCATCTACTCTAGAGCAAGATTCTTTTCTCTTGTAAATGTTAAACAGTGTCTTGGGGTGCATGCATCTTCTGACCTACCTGTTTGCTGTTGCCTTATGGGCCTTTTGGCTCACTATAGCAGTTTTTCACAATATGATACATGATGTCATTAACAGATTTGGACATGAGTTTTTACCTGACAACAGTGAAGTAGCTGTGTTTTATTTCATGTCTTGTAGGAATTCTTTCATTTTTCTCTCCAATACTTCAACTGCATGAATTGTGAGATTTAGTTGGCTGATGAATTTCTAAAGACCAGTACAAAATACTTGTGTTTGTTTTGCCTTAAAAAGTCACGACCGAGAGAAACTTCCTCAAATGATAGGAATTGTTTCCCTTTGAGAGAATATGTGATGATGTCTCTTTATTTTCCAGAACATATGAAAACAAAAGAAACATAAGGTTTCTAGCTTCTAAAATGTACTTAGACATCCTTTTGTTACAAATGTAAATCTGTTTCTATAGCAGTCCTCATTATTTTGAAATGATTTCTTGGTCACATAACTTGGTTATAAGTCCAGTCCATGTTCTCTTGATAAAAACCATCTGCTATTTAATTTGGTTTGTTTTCATTAGAAGAGGATACATAATTGGTCATAAAACTCAGATGGAAAAATCCTTTAGTAATATCAATTGATATGAATATCTGAATATTTAATGCAGAAAAATACTTGCTAAAGCTTCATTTAGCTTGCTGGTAATGTATGTCATTCTCTTGGCAATCCATGTTTCATTGTTTCTTCAGGAATTGGTGGCTCCACAATTTTGGTATGTTAAATTATAAACTCTCCCTTTAAAAATGCTCACCATTTTGTTTTCAGGCTTTTACAGTTATATTTTCATTTTGTGGCTGTTTTATATAGCATCTTCTTAGGATGGTTACTGTCGATGTGGTATATCCCAGCAGTAACGTAGACCTATATTCTCTGGTTTTAACTCCTTAATGTCTTAGAATCATTGTTGCAAGAATATCCTGCAGTTTGTGGTTCAGACAGCTAGGGAGGTGATGGGTCAGATGCATTCTTCATATTGTCAGTTGTAAATACTGAATTAGCTGCTTTGGGCCCTTGTGAAAAAGAAAAAAGAAAATGGTTAAGGAATAGGGTTCCTAATAATTTCCTGTTAATTGAAAGTTACTTTAGTTGTGTTTATTTAACACCATACACAGTATTTGTTATCAAAGTAAGCAAACTGTATTATTAGAGCCATAGCTTATGCATAAATTTAACGGTTTCTTTAAATATTCTCTTTTCCTAACAAAGACTGTAAGTATAATATTTAGTAATAGAGTTAACATTACAAATATTACCATGAAAGAAAAGCTGTATTTTTTAAACCAACTTCTGCTCTCATTTTAGAAGTTAACCTGTATTTTCAGAGATAATGAGCAATTAGCATACATTAAACATACTGTCATTCCCTCTTATCTTTATAATAAATTTTACAGTATTTCCTGCTGTAAAATATTGTCGCTTGCTTATCAGCACATGGTTTGAATTTTAACTGATTAAAACAGATTCCATGATCAAACACTATAAATTTCCATTGATGAACTGTTCATATAATTGAAATGTAAAGGGTGATGTAAAAGGTGACTGCAAATTAAATAATTTTCAATGAACATGCCCAATAATAAACATAAAATTGAGTAATAAATAATAGCTAAATAGTAAAACTGATTCTTTCAAGAAATATAAGCATTTTTTGAACACTTCAGAAAGACTACTGATGAAATTAAGGATATTTAGTATAACTGAAGTGATTTAAAAAGCTGATATCTATCTTCAGAGTGATTCAACAAAGAATATTCTTTGTATTTAACATTGCATCCTAAAAAATTACATTTAAAACATATCATGTCTTAAAATAAATAGATCTAAAAGATACATGTTTAGCAATAAGTAGAATTAAGCAAATAAACGCTTAAAATTTAGGCTGAAAATTTTCAAAGTAATTTTACCCCACTATGCTGGTTCAAAAGCAGCTGAATACTATAATAAGGAACACATCTTACCTCTGCTAAAGATTTGATAAATTCTTGATGTAGTTGAAGCATTTCCAGTTTTGATTGATTCATTTTGTTCACTGGTTAGTAGAGGACTGGGGGAAGAGGGTCATAAACACCTCTTCAAAAAAGACCTTAATGAAAATGTGTGTCTGTACTGTGCTATTGTTTCAGCAGTACTGCTAATGTATGGAACATGTAGTGCTGCTTGGAGGCTGCTGCAGTCTCTCACTCTTCCTACTGTGGAATCAATAAGCATCTGAAAATACATAATGAAAGTAATTTAACATACTGAAGGCTTCTTGTCTCCAGAGACAGCACTTAGATTCAGTCTTTCTAAAAAGGAATGGCACTGCTTTTCAGAGGAAAGCCTGTTCTGGGCAGCTTTTGCAGAATGACAGCCTACCTTGTGGCTTCTCTCCACTGCAGAGAGATGCAGTGCATTCACTAATTTTGATTGGTCAGTTGTATTGGGCTTAAATTGTGCTTCATATGTATAGCAGGGATTCCCCCCCCCCCACTGTTTTATATAAGGATGCTTTTTTAAAAGGCTATAGTTATAAGTGGTTGTGTGTTGCTCTTAAATAGAACAGGAGTAAATTAGTCTTTAAAAAAATGCATATTCTGGTTTATTGTTCACTTTTGCCAAACATTAAAAAGATATAGGGTAGTGGTGTTGCGGGGGGCAACAAAGAATTACATAGTAAAATGTATATATTCTTTTTAAAGCCTCGGATAATTGCACTTGAAAATATTTTAGTTGTATATATGTTTTTGGTTGAGATTCTTTGTTCTACAAATAGAAGGGCACTGCATCTTTACTGTGAAACACATTGAATTTCAACTAGTTTGTTTGTATTCAGGTCATCTCCTCTGTGTATTCCAAATTGTTGTGAACATCTCAAGGTGTTAACTATTATTATGACTGCAGTAGTCATTCATTCAGGTATTCATTCATTCATTCAAAATATTAATAAAGCTTGATTTAAGGTGATTACACCCTACAATTTTTTTTTAATTCCACTGCTAGTAGTAGAGTTTCAGTATGAAAAGATTTAATCATGTGCATTACTTTTGATATTACTATTCAGTCTTCACCTCTGGTAACCCCTGCTCAGTAGATATGTACTGATCATGTGCCATCATATTTTATTTCAACTGCTGTTTCTGTTTTTAACATGGGTACTTTTAGTGGATTGCTGTACTCTAATGTCGTATGCAGCTGTATGGTAATGTTATTGGGTAAATATATTGGTAAAGGAAAAAGGAAGTTAATTACATGTCCTCATAAGTTACAAAGCTAAATTATTTTAAGATATGCTGTCAAAAGAATTAAAAACAATGGTGTAGATAACAAAATATTACTTTAAATTTAAATTTCTGTTAATTTTGGTTACTTATGAATACTTTTCTGTTTTCAATATTGAGGAACACATTGAGGAAACCTTTTTCTTAGACTTGAGTATATAAAGTGGCTGGATTCTATATCTCTTAACAAAACAGAAGACATTGCAAATCACTGAATTATTAGAATATTGATTACCTATTTCCATTATTTTAGGAATGTTAGTGATGTGCATTTTTTAAAATATGTGCTAGGTTTTTAATTTGTAATTGAAGTTACTGTTTATAATTTTGAAAATCAGTATACATTTTAATCTTCCACTGCTAGTGTTTAAGCTGCACAGGGGGCTGGCTGAATAGTATATGAGCTGTGAGTTGCATTTCCACAGAAGTTGAGAGTAATGTGGTGGAAAATTTTGCTGTGAATTTCTACAGTTTTCTGTAGAGCTTTGGGTGGCAGGGCTTTGATAATGATAAAAATTAAAATATTGTGCTACTTTTCATGCATTTTGAAAATTGGAGAAAAGGATCTTAGAATGCCAGCCATGCTGAAAGGTAGCGCAGGTGTGCACATGCACACATATAGTGTTGTTTGCAGCTTAAAACTAAAAGTAAAGAAAAGATATCAGTTGAAACTTGTGGTAGAGATGAGAAGTTATTAACATAGTGAAATACATATAGTGCTTTTCTGCCAAAGAATTCAAGTATTTGCTTACATTTATCGTCAAAATATCACCATGAAGTAGAGGAAACAAAGGCACAGAGAAGTTTAATGACATGAGAAGGTGTAGGTAAGTTAGTCAGTCTAGGTAAGTTAGAAGTCTGCAAACGCCCTTCTAACTATATGTAGCTGGCCCTCTGTCTTTGGAAAATTCTGAGGGTAGTTTTGACTTAAAATTGGATGATCTGGGTTCAGTCACTACTTATTAGTTACATGACTTTTGACAAGTCAAGCATTCTCTGGGTCACGATATAGCTTTGACTTTTTAAATTGATGTATATTTCTGTGTTTTGTTTAGCTCTCTGTGAGACAGTATTTCCAAGTTAGACTGTTTTGAAAAAATAAATCCTGGGATCTCTGTAAGACATAATGACAGCAAGAAAGTTCAGGTCTAGACAACACCTTTTATTCCCTGTGACTTGTGGTTAGGGATACACAAGATATTACAAATAATAGTTACTTCTTACTGCATACAATGCTTAGTATATTTTTCTTTTTCTTTCTTGTTTTATTTTTTGGCCGTGCCACGCAGTTTGCAGGGTCTCAGTTCCCCGACCAGAGACTAAACCTGGGCCATGGCAGTGAAATCCCAGAATCCTAAGTACTAGGCTACCAGGGAACTGCCCTATAATTTTCTTTTTTAAAACCACAAATTGGTTTGATGATTATAAGGTTCTTTGATCTCTTAGCAGGATAATTCTAAATTCCTTTCTTTTTAACAAAGAAGAAGATATCTAAACCCCTTGAGTGAGAATCAGATTATATTCTTTTCATGAAAAAAATTAATATCAAATTATAAACATCAGAATTTACAGATTCTTACTTCCATAGCAACAGATTTTCACAGTTTTGCATTTAATATATTTTGTATTCATATAGGATACTAATTTTGAAAAATGCAATTAGTGATTTAAAACCAAATGTTACAAAGTCATTTTATAGATTACTTATTAATTAGTTAATAATAACCTGGGAAAGCAGTTTAAGTTTCCTAATAATAACTAAGCAACAGATGTGAATCTAACCCTCACATATCTCTATTAAAATCCCTCTTCACAAACTGTGTTTTTCTTTAAGTTAAAAACATTTTGATTTTTATTTATTTTAGGAACTAAAATTCCTGATATGGGAGTCCTTGACTTGTAATTTTATATATTTGCCTCCTTAGGTTTGGACAACTTTGAGTCTGAGAGAGTAATTTACTGTTCACATTTAAATTTACTGTTCGTATCAGATCATTCTTATCTAGCTTGTGTCTGGCTCTAATGCTGCAGAATTTTTGATGATTTTGAATTTGTAAATAAAAAACCCTCAACTTTGTGAAATATTGGAATTAACCACAACTGACAGTGCTTTGAAACTATTTGCAAAGTATATATGCAAAAGCAGTTTCTAATTGCTGAAAAATCACTTTTTAAATTGTATTGCTTCAGGAGTACTTTTTCAATGAATACTTAACATAGCTAACTCTAAACTCTCTCTGATACTAGAGGCCAAGGTAGAAAGGATTATTTCAGTTTAAAGCCAATTCAGAAATTTCATTTGGCTTCTCAACTTTAAATTTCTATCACAACAAATGTTTTACCAGAAAAATAGAAATGGACCATCTGCTGAAACCTCCCTCAAGTAGGGAGTAGCCAGGGTAGTAAAGAGTCAACAATATTGGTAATTCATTATCTATAAAAGAGGATAATTGAAAACTGATTATAATTGGATAAAGTACATGCATCAGAATTGTATGTCTTAACCGAAAAACTCCAGCATTCTTCCTCATCCTTCCCTATCTCACCTAAGTTGGGCATTTAAAATTTTTCATTTTTATTTTTCACAGTATGTGATTGTAAGTCATTTGCCAGCATCTATTACAGCAATGAATACATGGCATTTCTTTCCTTTTTTCTCATCCAAACCTCGATTTTGGACCCTGTGACTATTACTACTTTTTAATCTCCGTCTGTTGTCCTGCTGTTGGCATGTTGTTTGGGGCCCTTGTCCAAATTATTACGACCCCGACCCTAATTTTCTGGCATGCTCTTTTGACTGCCTTATATCCCTTTTTGCATTTTTAAATATTACGGATTTTGTTGATGTTTTTCTCTTATATTTCCATCAAAGAATTACACAAACATGTTTATGCTTTTTTTTTTTCCACATTGGTTTCTCTTTCTGTTGCTGCTTCATTTTTCTTATAATTCTTCTATTGTAGGTTATTATGCAGGATCAAATTCATTTCTGTGTTCTGAAACCAAGTCAGCTGATTAACTAGATTATATATTTAACAAAGCTATGGCACATCCCTTCTTATGTGCTGTTATGAGTCCTTTGCTTGTTTATTATCCTTGTTTATTTTTAGTAGAGAGAAATATTGATACAATTATTTTTTGTATATTGACCTTGTATCCTGCAACTTCACTAAACTCGTATATTAGTCTTGGGAACTTTTTTTGTGAATACCATGGTATTTTCTGTACAGACAATTAACGTTGTCTGCAAATAGAGACAGTTTACTTCTTCTTGAACCATGTGTAACTTTTATTTCTTTTCTTGCCTTATGCTACTGTGTAGGACCTCTGGTATTAGATTTGATAAAAGTGTGTTGGGAGAAGCATTCTGCCATGGGCCCTGAGCATCCCTGAAGGTCCTAGGGCATGCTGGGGATTGCTGGGCATGCTAAGAATGAAAAGACCTGACTGTTCTTTACCTGGTCCATTTCTCAGGGTTGTGTTGGAAGCTAGCCACTTGGAGGGATGCAATAATAACTCCCCAAAGAGCAGACTTGCTTCTGCTTGTTATAAAAATGGTAAATTGTCCAGCACAGTGTTCTTTGGCTGTGATGCAAACCTACTGTATCCAGAGTATCCAACCAGGTCCCTCTGCCAGGAGGACTTGGATAGGAAAGTGAACTGTCAGAGTGACATGATCTCTCATACTGCTTGCTGTGTCTTCTGCCAGTATACATGACAGAAAGAAGCTAGCTTCATAGCCTGCAAATAGGGTAAAATCCTAGACCCTTCACGATTTCTGACAATATTGGCAACGGAGACATGATGTTGACTGAAACATGGCTTCCTACAAAAGAGAAGACAAAGGCCCTTGTGGGCTGGTTTAGAGAGCATGAGATGCAATAGCAAATGCTCTTGTTTAAGTGGTGAGCTAGTAGATCTTTTACTGACTTACGTGTTAATGAGTTCTTAGAGGCTAAGCAGTTAAATGAAGCTGCCCAAATGGTACTATGGTTGTTGCTCAGGCTCCAGGCTATAGGAAGAAATAATGTAATTACATCTGTGAGGCAGCAAGCCTCTGGACCGCCACAGGAGGCAGTATGACTGTAGCT